CCCCTGCCTTTCTGTCCCTCCACCATTCCTTCCCCCTCCATCTCCTCCCAACTACCTGCTCCCGACCTTGGACCCGGCCTCGTTTCTGTAGTCTCTGCACTTGTCTCCCGTTAAGGTCCCAGCCTCGGTGGGGCGGAAGCGGGAGCGCAAGCAGGTCAGCGATGAAGACACCTCGCTGTCGGAGAGCGATGCCTCCCGAAAACCTGAAGAGGAAGAGGAGGACGAGACCACGGCCATGAGTATCAATGAGGAAATGCAGAGGATGCTGAACCAGCTGTGAGTGTGGCTGCTCCGCACCTCTGCCACTGGCGTCGAGCGAGGCTCCGGCACCAGGCTGGCGCCCGGGATGGGGAGGGCAGGGATGGGCTGCGGCTCCTCTTCCAGGGGGAGGGTGAGATGGGAGGTGCTGCCGCAGGGTGCATACACCCTGTGCTCTGCGGCACGGTGGGACTGATCCTCCCCGGGAGACCTGAGCCCACCCGTGCCGTGGGTGAGAGCTGCTCCAGCTCCCCTCCTCTTGACCCCTTCCCACCTTTCGGGAGCCCCTGACTGAATTTGCTGGGGCTCCTGACCATAAAGCCAGCCCCTTCCCCATCAGCTGTTGGGTCTGTGCATATTTGATCTCACCCTGGCCAGACCTCCAAGAGCTGCAGCCCTGCCTGTGAGCAGCGGCGAGGCTTTTGGCACCGATGCGGCCCCCTGCCTGCCCTGCCTGCTGGGATTCTCCTGCTGGGTGCTGACGTGCTGTTCCCTTACCCCCAGGAGGGAATATGACTTTGAGGATGACTGTGACAGTCTCACCTGGGAGGAGACGGAAGAAACGCTGCTCCTCTGGGAGGACTTCTCCGGATACGCCATTGCAGCCGCAGAGGTGCAGGGGGAGGTAACGGTGGTGTCAGGTCCCCTCGGGGATCCAGCCCTGGGTTGGGACACTCGGTCCTGCCTGAGGCTGGGAAGATGCTTCCTCAAAGACCAGACCTCAGCCCCCTCCATCCCTTGCAGGCCGGTACAGATGCTTCCCCTCTACACCCCATCTTGCACCCCATCTTCTCTATGCGAATACGTTATCGCATCCTTGTGAAGGTCTCCTTATTAGACAGACCGGGGACCTGTAGCCTGAAAGATGTGCTGAGGGCATGGTCCACACGCGTGGACCTCCTCTGGCTGGGGCTGGTCGCTGGTGGTCCCTTGCTCGGGCTCTCCAGCGCACCTGCCCGCCGCGCAGCAATGATGCCCGAACGGAGGCCTCAATGCCTGGCCAAAGCCATCCCGCATCCTTGGCACTCGGCAGTCCCCTGGGGACGCGTTGTGCTTGGGGACGGTCTGTGCTCTCCAAAGCTTCTGTGCATTGCTGGGCCCGTTCTGGGCTGATGTGGTCACTGCCCAGTGTGGCGAGTCCTGGGTCTCTCTACCCCGTGTTGGCAGGACTGACTCGTGCTTTATTTATACTACGCCGCTTATGTTTCTTCCTCTTTTCCCAGTGCTGCCAGTTCTTTCTCTGATTTCTCTCTCTCTTGCCTTTGGTTCCTCATGTTGGACGCCTCCCTGCCTCTAAACGTGCCGTCTGCTCTCCCCAACAGCAGGACGACAGCCTGGAGAAGGTGATCAAGGACACGGAGTCGCTGTTCAAGAGCCGTGAGAAGGAGTACCAGGAAACCATCGACCAAATAGAGGTGGGAGGAGGAAGCGGGGAGGACGTGGCGCAGAAGGGGGTGAAATGGGGGAGTGGGTCCTCGGGGGAGGGAGACACCATGCTGGAGCCGGTAGTTGGTAATGGGGGGCGGCAGCCTCGGGTCCGGCCGTGCCCCCTGGCCTGCACCGCACCATGCCCCAGGCTCATCTATCTCCGCACCGTTTCCCTTGTGCAGCTGGAGCTGGCGACGGCCAAGAACGACATGAACCGGCACCTGCACGAGTACATGGAAATGTGCAGCATGAAGCGAGGCTTGGACGTGCAGATGGAGACTTGCCGGCGGCTCATCACCCAGTCTGGGGACAGGTGAGCTTCAGCGGGAGGCCCGGGACACCCGGGCTTTGGGCAAGGACTGGAGCCAGGGTGGTGGTGAGTGGGAGGTGAAGCACGGGGTAGTCCTCCTGCCCTGCCCCGGTGCGACATGGAGAGGGGGCAGTTCCCAGAAGCTGTCGGATTGCTGGTGGCCAGCCCCCACACAGGTCGTGGTGCCACCTCTGCAGAAGGTGGGCTGCGCGCAGGGGTCAGTTTTGACGGGTGAAGCCAGACACCCCCGATGGAGAGAGGAGCTGCCGTTGCGCAGGGGCATCGTATAGGTCCCCACAGGCACGTGGAGCCAGGGTGGCTCTGGGCTGGGGAGCTCTGTGGTGGGCTTTCACTGACCCCTTTTCACGCGCCTTGGCAGGGTCCTGCTCTGGACGGGCTCCTCCGGCATCTCCCCCTTCATGCTCTGGACCTCTCGTCTGGTGTCCTCTGGGACACCCTTCCGAGCACCCAAGGATTCCCGCGGACCCACGCATGCCCCAAGGGAGCAAGAGGAGCACTTCAGCTTCTCTCCTTGCTCTGGTGCCCCCTGCCCACACCAAACTGGGTCCTTTCCCTCCCCCTGGGCAGTGCTGTGACTGCTGCCCTGTGCTCTTCTCCGCAGAAAGTCTCCTGCCTTCACCCCGGCCTCCAACAGCGAGTCAGCCCCGACCGAGGAGAGTGAAGAGTCCGACCGTGACCCCCCCAGCGACGCTTCCATCAGATAATGAGGGGAGGCCCCGCTCCCTCGGACCCCCTTCCTGGCATGGGGGTGCCTGAGCCGCGCCTGGGAGAGACTGTCAGGGACGTGGAGCCGCTGGTAAACATCTGTCGCCCAGGCTCGCTCCCGTTTCGGGGTGCTTGGCAGATCCCACACCCCACCACCACCGGATATCTTGCAAATGGGAATAGCTAGATAGACCTGAGGGCCCTCACCCGGGCCGCTCAGCCTCCAGCCCCTTCTCTATTCCCTTCCCCTAGCTTTGGTTAAACCGCGGTTCGGGCAGGGAGGCTCCAAACCTGCCGCGGCGGCGTTCTCCAGGACCTGTCCCCAGGCCACCCCCAGACCCACCTCCTCCAGCCTCCGTCCTGGTACACTTGACCTGCCCCGTGCCCTCCCTGCGCCACACGGAGCCGAACGAGAGCTGTACCTCCCTGCAAACTGGACCTGACACTGGTGCCAACTGGACCGAGCCCGGGGCTCTCTCTGTCCTTGCTGCTGGCCGGGCGCCCGGCTGGTCCCCGTGCTGGGCCGGGCACCCCGAGCCCCCCCGCCTCCTCTGGGGCAGGGGACGAGTCCCGCTCACCGTGCACTTTGCTTTGCCGCATGTCAGCGGTGCGCTCGCGACTGTGTTATGGGGGCAAGGAGTCATTAAATGGGACAGTTTCCTTTTCTACAGCTTCGCCAGGTGTGGGCTCTCCCTGCGCCGCCGTGGGCACCACGCGGCTTAGAATCATAGAATCGTTAAGGTTGGAAAAGACCCTTAAGATCATTGAGTCCAACCGTTAACCCAGCACTGCCAAGTCCATCTATACCATGCCCTCGAGCACCACGCCTACCCTTCTTTTAAATACCTCCAGGGATGGAGACTCAACCCCTTGAGGCGGGGGGTGTCCTCCACCGGACCCCCAAGCCCACATCAATGGTGGCCTCCCATGGGAAACTCCCGTCCCTTGGTTGTGCCAGATGGGACTGGCAGATGGGACAGTGGCGAGATCCCTGTTCTGGGAGCCGCTGGCCCTCAGCGGGCCGTGTGTAGCACCGGTGCTTCATGGGCCGTCTTGTTCTTAACCTGGAGCATCATTGATGCTGAGGCTGAGGGATTGGAAACGAAGCCGAATGTGGCTCATGACTTGTGGACCTTCCTCTCCCAGTGCCTGGTCTCTGCCACACCAGGGTATCCCGGAGCGTCTTCTTGCCTGCCCTCAGTCCCATGTCCAACCTTGGCGTAACCATGGTGGGGGTTCCCTTGTCCCACCATCTCTTGTAGCGTTTGTCTGGCTGGCCGTTGCTCGTGCTCCTCCGGCGAGGGGAGGCTGGGGCCGGGCAGGGTGGCAGGAGGGGGTGGGCAGCCTGCTGAGAGGCAGCGTTTTGCAGTGCCGTCTGCTGAGCAGTGGGCCCAGGCTGCACAACCAAGGCGGGTGGAGCTCCAGAGAAAAACACTTCTCACAAAAGGTCTTGAAGGGAAGAGAAAGTAGATGGCAGTAGAGTTTTTGGATCGTCTCTGAGATTAGGTAAGGTCAATAAAATGGGGGCTGAGGGATGCAACAGTTCATCTCCGGAGGTTTGGCTTGGGTAGCTGATGCTGCCGTGCACTTGAGCTGGAAGCACCGGCGCATCCGCGCGCCGCAGTGCAGAGGGCCGGTGTTTGGGCAGGGCGAGGTCCTCTGCCTGTGCCTGCAAGATGTGTTCAGGCATGTGTTGGCGTTTCAGCATGGGTTAGAGCCGGCGGGGAGGCGAGGCCCTGCAAATGGCAGAAGTTAGCAGCTGAGGAAACCTCCAGGCCAGGGCGCAGCTGGGGCACTGCTGCTGGCACCGCGAAATGGCGGTTCCTCAGCCGGTGGTCTGCTGTGGCTGGGCTCCGACTCGCGAGTGCCGTCTTCGCCTCTCCCGGGGAAGCCAGGAGAGCTTCAGGGAGCAGAGCGGGGTGTTTCACAGGAGCAGCAGGGTGCTGGGTAGCAGCAGAGGGGTGCTGGGGTGCTCCCCCTGCCCCAGCTGCCTGCGGCCGTGCAGGCGGATGGGCGGTGTGTGCCTCAGTGCCTGCCCTGAGACAGAGCCTTTGCCGCGGGCCTCACCTCTACACCGCCTTGCCGGACTGTTCCTGTTTGCTTCCCTCTTCTCTTTTGATTTTTCTTCCTAAAAGACCTAAGCCAGAGGAAATATACTTTAATCTGGGCTTTTTCTATCGAGTGATGGTGCCTCACACGCAGTAGATCAGGGATCACTTTCTATCCTGCCTGGAGGCTCTTCTGGTTCATGCAAATCCCCTTTCCCATACGTGTCTCTGCAGCATTTTCTGCTTTTGCTCTGCTGTGAAGATCTCTCTGAGTGGCTGGCTAAGTCTGGCTTCCGCCATGCATAATCCATGACGTGTGTACCTTGGCCGCTGAGTGCTGCTTAAGAAACCCACAGGACTGTAGAGCACATACCCTGAGAGATTTCAAGCATGAGGCACATCTCTGCCTCGAGCAGTCGTTGCTCAGAGGAGCAGCTGGTGCTGCCCGACGCCCGTACCCCAGTCCCGCGCTGCTCGTCAGAACTTCGTTTGCAGTGAAACCGAGAGCTCGCCCGCCCATGTGTGCAAGATGCCGTTCTCTGGTGAACGGTATCACCAGCAATAGGCTCCGTTCCCCCGCCGTGCAGCAGCCCCCGAGCTCTCACTGGCTGGACACGCAACACTGATACTTTGCCTCAGCAATTTCTCAGCGTGGGAAGCACGGCCCAAGGCCCCCAGTGTAACCGGACCATCTCCCCTGCATCTGCCTGTCCATCAGGGCTGACCCCACATCTTTGATGCTGAATATGAGGAGATGTGGACCTTCCATCTATTTAACTCTTCTCTGTGGGCTCCTCTCCGTTCTTTGGGGAGTATCTAGCCTGCTTTTCTCCACCATGAGCCCTGCTGGGAACTGTGGTGTCTAGGAACTGCTCAGTGCTGTGTTGCTTCTCACGTCCCTCACCTTGTCCTTTTTCCAGGATGCTTCTCGGCAGCGCCTGCTCAGGAAGCAATATCAGAAGAAATCGTCTAGTGAAGACCCAGGTCCTGGCTGCGTGATCTTTCTGAACGCCTCCTGGTCTGTATTCACCTCACAGGGAATAATCGTATCTCATTTACCCTTAGACCCCAGCCCATTCAAAAATCTTTGTTGGCCTAAACTTTCTGAAAGACTTGGTTGCAGGGGCAGCTTGGCCATGGATGGAGCAGGCCTTTTCCTATTCTTGACCAAGACGACGAATTGATGACATGAACTTTGGTGGAGTGGGTTAGTTACTCTTTCCAGCTGACCGTGCTCACCTGTGAGCAGGTTGCAGCTGAGTCTAGTATGGTCCTTAGTGCACCAGAGGAGACCTTGGCATGCAGGGGACAAAGTCCTGTCTCACTCGGTGTCCATGCATTAATGGGAGTGTTTATTGCCCAAGTACAGTCCAAGCATGGCTGTGTCTTACTGAATGGGGTTCCACGGCAGAAGGCATCCAGGCAGTCCCTCTGTCAGCATCCATCGTGGGACTGTGGCTGCTGTCTGGTGACCTCCATGAACATCTGTCCAAGACCATCCTTTTAGGATCATGTCTCTCTGGATTGGCAGTGAGGTCTTCCCAATGAATATTTAGGCAGGCTGGTTCAGCTTCCCCGCCCTACAGAAGTCCATGTTGGCAGAGACTTACTTGGGCAGCCTGGAAACGTGCTAATGATCGCTCTGGCTTCTCCCTCCCCAACATATGGACTCTTGTGTCTAGGTGAGGACAGGCACAACTTTGAGATCAGCAGAGGGAGTGGCACAAAACCCTTCCCGTGAGGCAAGAGCTGTCCCTGGGCTGGGACAGACCCACTTGTGAGCATCCTGGCTCCATGAGGCGTTGAGGGACACAATCAGCCTTTGAGCTGGGGCGAGAGACGCAGTTCTCCGCTGTGCTCCACGCTCCCTGTGCCGAGATCAGCCTCTTGGCAAGGGGCTTCAACAGACGGTGCCAGGCATTTTGCAGAAGCGAGCCCTGGCTCCCTGCTGAATGCGTTGTTTCTGATCCCGTGGCATGCAGCGTGGCCTGCCCTGCCCCTTCCCTGGTGAAGTTCCCTAGGGCTCCTCTGAAAGGTGAGCTCTCATCCTCGGAGACCCTGTCTGGCAAGGTAGCTCTGAGACCAGGGCCACTGAGTTTCTTGATGAAGACTACCAGATTGAGTTTGAAGACTATCAGATTCTCCCACAGAGAGGGCGGGGAGCATCGCCCTCCTTGCACCTCACCACACGGACGTGGGATGTTCTTCCTGGCTCTGGAGAGGGTTCAATCACCCTAACCACTAAGGAGCCCAGCTCTCCTTCCCTGTGTTAAGCAAACCCGCTCCCTCCGTTCACTCATTCCAGGATCCCATCTATTTTAGATCGTATCTCAGAACTGAAAGAGTCTGACTTGCCTGTCCGATCAGTTAAGGTCCTGTATTTTCCACCCAGCACCCTTCTGCTGAAGGTGCTTTGTCAGCTGTCCCACGCGACTCGGCTTTGTGTGTGAGTTCGCTTTTCCCCGTTGCAGGATTCCTTAGATGGACCTAAATGTGATGCTGACAGCCTTTGCTGGAGCAACTTTTGATTCCCTGGTAACCTGTTTATTATTCTGTTTATCTTGTTTCTTAGCCAAGAGGTAGGAGAGAGCAAAGCTGCATAGAAAGTTGTTCTTGTTTCTAGCTTTGAGCTGGGAGATTGGCTTTCTTAAGCCTCGTACCTCTCCTACACAAGCTTCGTTTGTTCTCGAGAAGGCCATACTCTTTGTATGTTTATGGTTGTTGCTATCTCGGGTACCTGTGGCACAGAGCGTCCCAGAATTGCACACGATGATCAAGTGTGTCAAATCCTTTGGTTACGGGTAAGAAACTTCCTTTCGAGAGGAGAGGTCAGAATTAACGCAGAACACGGTGAAGTGCTGTCTCCTTGGAGATGCACCTGGATGATGCGTGGACAGGCTCCTGAAAACATCTGGCAAGCCCCTACGCGTGGTGATTAATGCTGGGAGCGATAATAAGACAGCATGGAGAACTGGATGGGCTACAAACAGCTTTAGGGAAGCCCAGTCACCATTGAAAAATCTTCCAGTGGATGTGTGAGAGGTGTTTTAGATGTGAGTTTTCTAAATGCTCGGGCCACTGTCTCTTGGGACGGGGACAAGGAGAGGATGCTCTAGGTCCTCTGGCAGAGGGGGGTATGGATTTCATAGCTTGGAGAGCAGCTGTAAGAGCGGGGAAGGCACTAAGGTAATGCTGTGGAAAAGGAGCTCGAGCGGCCACCAAAAGGCATCATGATCAAGCTGAACCAATATCACAACAGTTGGGAAGAGGCGGCATTTTCAGCTTCGACAGCAGGCTGCATCTGGGCAAGGTGCAAGGGGAAACAGAAGTTCTCAGGGTAGGAAGAAATGTGGTTAACGGATATTTTTAATGTTCACGGCCACATCGTAGCGCTGGTAGCTCACCAGTCTAACCCGTTGGGTAAAGGGGGAACAGGCAAGAGCAATTGTGAATTGGGGTTGCAGGCTGTGCTAAAAATCCCGTTCACTCTAAAGCTAACAGCCAAACAACATGCTCTGACCCTCAATTTCGTCAAGGCATTGCAGGGTCTTTTATATACTTCTGAATCCCCAAAGAAAACACGGTGATTTATTTTGTAAGAAAGAACCTCTCTGTATGAA